TTGAATCTTAATATCTTTATAACTACTGATTCAATTTTTATGAAATTTAAAATATATATTTATCAAATCTAGGGCAATCTACTTGCGTAATTTGAAGTTCTAATATTATAAATTGATAGCAATAACATTTAAAATGTCTTTTTTTAAAAAAATAATTTTATTTTAATTTTTTTTTAGTAAAGTAATGCTTTATTTATTATTGAATTAAAGTAAAATAGAATAGTTAAAATAGTATAAAAAGTTAATTTAGATCATTTTTTTTATTTAATATAAAAAAATTATAAAAAATTTGAATGATTTTTATTTGATTTTATATTGAGGTACAAATCTTTTTGCACCGACCCATAATATATATGAAATGGAAATAAGGGTATTGATAAAATTTCAGTTATCTTATTGCATGTAATCATGTATTAAATAAGTAAAATCGGACTTGTAAATTGATATTATCTATCGAAATATCCTCGATCTTGGAACAAAATTTTACTACGACTCAAACTGTCTCGATCTTGTAGTTTTTTATCTCTGAATTTTTAATAGTTAAATGATAACTTTTCTCAGTACGTCTTTAATTTCAAGATCATTCCTTATTTTAAACGATTTTTATTGGGGATTTATTTTCATTGATACGATATGCAAGACCGCAGCAGCGCAATGTTTCACTTACATTAATGCATGTGGAGACAAAACTGCTGCGTACAAACATCAAATAACTTAAAAATTCTGCGCCATTCCTTTCACTCGAATATAAGAAGAGTTAGACCATTACTTATTTTCCATAAGACAATTTTTCCCGAAAATCTTGTAATTAATTAAAAAATTTTAATGTCATTTTCCGAAATTCAAATCTTGAAAACTATTTATAATAATGATTTCACGCACTCGAATACATTTCCTATTCGATATGCAATAAATATATCGGGATCCGTAGAGCAGCAAATTTCAGATGATAATAACCGAATTCAAATACTATTTGATATTCCAATTAAATATCCAAAACAACCAATTAATTTACGTGTAATAAATTCATTATACGATAATGAGAAAGAAATTACCGAACTACAAAAACAACTTGAAGCTCGTGCTATAGAATTAGCTGAGCAGGAAGAATTTGCCATGTATGAGATAGCAGAATTTAGTCGAACTTGGCTTTGGGAACATGAAAATAATCGTAAAACATTTAAAAGAGAATTTTGGTTGGGCGAATGGATGAGTCGTGCTCTGGATTGGCGTATCGAATCATATTCACCTGCTCGCATTACGCAAGTGCAATTCGAGGCAGAAAGAAAGGTTGTAGAGAAGTGTGATGAATTAATTGGTATTATTGTTTCCGTCGCACAAGCTCGAAGTTATTTACGGTCGAATCTTTGGAATATTGAGAAGTCAGTTGATATGTTAAAGGAAGATTATAAAAAAGGAAAATTTCAGGAAACTACAAAGATGATTAATGACGAAATCGAAAATTTTATCGACAATTTCGACGAAAACACAACAGAAAATCCTTTGAAAACATGTGCTATTTGTTTCGACGACTTCCCAACAAATGAGACTACGATATTTGCACCATGTAAACATGTTGTTTGCAATGATTGCTTTATTCGATATCTCACGATTAAAGTTTCCGAAAAACAAGTTTTCGAAATTTATTGTCCTGGAGAATCGAAATGCAAAGTTCTTGTGGATCCAATCACTATTGGATGGATGCTATCCAATGAGTTAATCGCGAAATATTATACATGGCTTCGAGATTCGTTTATTCAACTGCAGCAAAATTCGCTAAGTAAGAAATATTTGTGGTGTATTGATAGGAAATGTAAGCACGCTATTTCGCATAAAGCACCCATGAATAGCAACAACTACAACAATGGACTTTTACATTGTCACGGATGTAACTCAACATGGTGTCAAACATGTGAAAGAAATGGTGGGCATTGGCCAGCTACTTGTAAAGACTATCAACATTATGCTCAAATCAATCATACAGTCAATATATCTATACCAAAATCGGTTCCTTCAGACCTTTCCACGAAACCATGTCCAAAATGTGGAATCCCGGTGGCGAAAAACGGTGGATGTATGCACATGGTTTGCGCATTATGTAAATTCAAGTATGTGTGTTTTTTAATTAGTTTGTTCTTTGACATTTCAATTGACGAACAATATTTACTTTTTCGAAAATTTTAGTTATTGTTGGGGATGTGGAATTGATTGGAGTTCGAGAACTCATACCAGATTTTATGAATGTGACAAAGAGACTTTCCATATAAATTCAACCTTTGAATTGTTCGAAATTGACGATATCCAAACAACACCTGGCCAATTTCAAAAAAACTTTAAACGTGGGGTATTACTTTATACAACAGGCGTAGAATCTCACACAGCAAAACTCGATTTAATCTACAAACAATTTCAAAATCAGAAGCGTGAAGAGCCTCTTCTACTGTTACAAATAAGATTGGCTTCTCTTTTAGTGCAAATTAATTATATTTTAAAATATGCTTCGATGTCATTTTTCGCTCGTGCCGAGAAAGTCACCCCTGCAGTTCGAAATGCCGTTGAGGTTAGTCAACGAGTTTCGTTTGGATTGCTTGCGCTTGAATCGTTGGAAGTAAGAGTCTTGGAGGTTGTTCGTTTGAGGTTTGGCCATGGGGGAGGTAACGGTGCTGGAGGGTCAAAAGATCGTGCTCCTCCATTACAAGATAAACTATTTGATTTCCAGCAAGAGTTTGAAAAATGTAATGTTCAGATTAAGAGTAACGTTAAACGATTGGTTAATTCATTAAGTAATTTAGATAAATGACTATTTTTAGTACATGTAATATCCTATAATATAAAATGTTTTAAGTTTTGTCCTGCTAATAAATTAAATTGCAATCTATTATACTTTCAAAGCAACTTTTATAAAATAAAAATGTTTTAATGCGTTTATCTATCTATTATTCTTTTGAACATGAGTAAAAACTCTTTGACAGAAGATAAGAATAATCCAAGTGACAATGAAATTGAGTGGTATCATGGAAGTAGAGGGATTGGTAAGTTGATTTTACTACATAGTTTTAAACTCATTAATCACATATTCTTTTATAGAAGACGAAACGTTAAAATTGGACGGGAAGAAACCTTTTCCATCTCCAGATCGATTTCAGCAACTTGCAATAGCTTTAAAAGAAATCAGAGCGCTTCGACATTCAGGGGAAAAAACTTTAAGTGCCAAAAACAGACGAGAGATCAGACTTGTATATTCACCTGGACTGGAAACCTTTTCAATTAACTATAAGATGAAACGTGAAATGTCCATTCCACTGAGAGAAATTTTGACAATTAAAATTTTGCCAGTGCCTCATAAAGAGATTGATATCAAGCTTCAGTTTGTTAAACGTCATCGAGATGTAAGCATTTTAATGCTTTTAATACAAATTTTTCATTTATGTTATCATCAACTTAATTATATTGCTATAGATTTATAAAGAAGGAACCCAAGATCAAGAATTCGATAACGTGACTTTCTTTAGGTCAAGGAGGTTCCGTTGTAAACCATTCGAGAGCATTGACTCTGAATTAGTTCAAAATTTTGTGAAGAGAGTTCAAAAGGCGGTTTATTTGATCTATGTGTCAATGAATCGTAATCCTTTTGATATCGCTCCAGTATGTCAATTTTCTATCTATCGTTAGATTTTGTACAATATGATGGATCTTGATAGATCTTTTGGAAATATTTATTCTAGGGAGAAATAATTCACGGTGAGGTTGGTAAAGGAACGTACCAAGAGGAAGAGCCACGTGGAAGCGTAGATTATTTCCTTGCACGTGAAAAAAAGTTGATGGCACAAGAAAAAGAAAAGGAGGATAAATTGCTGGAAAAGCCGCTTAACATCGAGGTGAGTACCTAAATAAAACTTTAACTTTAATCAAATCAGCTAATATTTTTACATATAACTTAGATGAATATTTTGTGCAAATTTGGGATCGAAGTACGTGCTATAAAATGGCCGATCGAAGGTTCCTATTATCATCTAAAATACTTTATTGAACAAAAATTCAAGCGTCCTTTTAATAGGGTTTATTGCAAAGTAATAAGCGATGATACTACCACTAGTATTATTAATAACGACAAAAATAAAACTGATTTTGTCGATATTAATGGATATGGTTGTTCTTGGATGCCTTTGTATACGGAAGAGGAATGGAAATTGGTTAAGAAAAAGGTGGATGTTAGATGTGTTAGAATTTTGTTTTATATTAAATGTATTAAATGACCTTAAATACGTAATTCTCAGTTGACCATATGTTCTAAGTTAGTTACTAAATAAAATAACATCGAGCCGGTTAAAAATAGTAAAGCAATCTTATGACTACGAAAATTGTTTCTTATAGTTAGATGCTTTTTGCATGTATATGATTATAAAGCTAGCAAGTTCATGTATGATTGATAGTAAAGTATGTATATGTACATGTATTCCAAATTTCTACATGATACAGATTCTTATTTTCAATAATTTGAAATCTATATTTCATGTATTCAATAAAAGATTCAAAAGCATCTTGATATTAATTTAGTTTATACTTTGTTATTAAATTTTGATTAGTTTGATAAGTAAAAAGAGCAGTAAGAATAAAGGTATCCTATTCTTATTCATGTGCTATTATCAATTTTTATAATATCATACACAGTATTCTATTAAAATATTTTATTATTTTATTAGTTTGTAGATAATAAGATGAAGAAAATTTATATTTGATTTCAAATTTTGTTGATAATTCTTTAACTATTTTATTAACAAATTCTAATCTATTATTTGATTAAATTTCTTTGAAATATTCATGTCTACAAATTATTTCTTCAAAGATAAATTTTGCAATTATAGTAGCTTTCTTATCAGAAATTGCTTTAGCTTTAGGTCATTTTATAAGATAATCAATTGCTGTAATAATATATTAATTTCTAGTTATTATTATTTTACTAGATTTAATTAAATCAATAACTATTTTATTAAAAGATTATCTAATTTTAATAAAATATAAAGATTATTTGGTAATTCTTCTATTAGTTTGCTAGCAGATTTTACAAGTCTTCACAAAATTCTTTATATTAGTTTCTATATTATTCTATCAATACTTATTTGTAATTTATTGATAGATTTTTTTATATTTAAAATATTCAGATAATGAGTTTGAATGTAAATTGATAAGAATAACTTCTATTTCATTTTTTTTAATAACTCTAAGAGATATAGTTAGTTCTTTTCTTTAATTAATTTATATAATATACTATAAATTTGTAAAAAATATTTTGCTTGATTATGTATTTTTCATTATTATTCAAAAGTTGATCCTACAAAATAGGTTTTATTATCTAAAAATTATTATAAATTATAATAAGTTATTAAATTCATATTATTATTATAAAAAGAAAGTTGTTTAATAATCTTTTGAATATATCTAGGATAAAGTATTAGCATTTTAGTTCTTTTTTTCAGATTGATAAATAATAATAAATATATATTTTATAAGAGATATGATTTATTAGTTTATTTTAGCAGAGTGACTTTATTGATTTTTAAATAATTATCTCAAGATATTATGATCAGTTATTATTTCAAATATAATTCTAAGTATGTAATAACAAGATTATCTAATAATCTATATTATTACTAGTACTTCTTTTTCAGTTATTCTATATTTTTGTTTATTTGATTTTAGAATGATAATTACTTGTTCTTTTTTATCTTTATCTTTCTAAGATAGAACAGCTTCAAGTTCTAAGTCTGAGATATTAGTATAAAGATAGAATTTCTTAGTAAAGTCTGAATAAATTAAAATAGATATAATTATAAGGTATTGTTTAATTTGCTAAAATATTTTTTCTTATTTTACTATTTAAATGAATAATTCTTGATTTTAAAGTAATTTAAATAGAGATATAGTGATTTGAGAAAATTCTTTTACAAATTTTCTATAATATTTAGCTAAGCTATAAATTTTTTGACAGTTCTTGATTGAGAAAAATCTTTTATCTTCTGAATAATTAATTAGTCAGATAAAATTTCTTCAGTTATTATATATTCAAAAAAAGATAATTCTCTTTTGCAAAAGTTATATTTTTCTGAATTGAGTTTTATATTAATATTTTAAATTCTGCAAAATACTTTATTGAGATAATCCAAGTATTCTTCAAAATTTTTAGAAAATATATTTAGATTATCAATATAAATATTAGTAAAATTCTAATTATAATCTCTTAGTATAATATCTATTATTTGTTAAAAAGTTATTAGAATATTGTATAATTCAAAAGATATAATATTAAATTCAAAAAGTCTTTTTCTAGAAATAAAAGCAGTTTTAGATTTATCTTTTTCTTTCATTTCAATTTACTAATATCTAGAGATTAAGTTTATAAATAAAAATCAATAAGTATTTTCAAGTGAGTTTATTATTTCATCAATTCTCAATAATAGATATGAATTTTTTTGAATAATTACATTTAATTTTTCATAATTAATACAAAATCTTTTCTTTCTATTCTTTTTAGAAATTATAATAATAAGTAAAATTCAAGAACTAGTTGATAGTTAAATAATTAATTTGAAAGAGTAATTTTATAAGATCATTATTTAATAAATAATTCATTTTTAGTATGTATTTCATATTGAATTATATTATTTTGACTAAGTTAATGTAATTTAGTTACAAAGATATCAGTATTATTTTTTAATAGTTAGATAAGAAGTCTTTCTTGTTCTGCAATTAATTTTTGTTATTTAATAACTTTTTTTTATTTCTATTTCAAGAAATAGATATAGACTTTTTGATAATTAGTAAATCCAAATTTAATTATTTCTTAATTAGATTATTTAAGTTCTTCTCTAGTAGAAACTGGTATAAGTTATTCAATAAATGCAAGTTATAAAAATACTAATTAAGCTGATTAGATTCAATAATATAGTCATCTTTTAAATTATTTTGAATGATAATATTAATATTTCTAGTATATTCAGAGTTAATAATTTTATCTTTAATATTAATTTCTTATTTAGCAAAAGATAAGTAAGATATTACTTGATATATAACTTTTACAGAAATTTCTATAGTAATATATATATTTATTAATATAACTCAATATGATAAAATTCTAATTACTTTCTTTCTAATATAATAAATATTATAACTAGTATTAGTTAGATATACTTTTTCTAGTAGTTTTTCTTTATCTTGATTATTATAAACTTTGATTGTATAGTATCTATCATTTGTTTTATAAATATATCTTTTAAATAATTATTAAATTATTATGATAGTTCATTAAGTATCTGATAAATAATATTAAATTTTTCTTGAATTTTAGTTAATTTTAATTAAGAAGATTGATTCAGAATAAATATAATATTTAATTTTTTAATTACTTTATTAGTTACTACTTCTTCTTGAATTATTTCTAAAATTATAAAATATTTTTCTTTATCTAATTTAACCAGAAGTTTAAATTATATATAATTACCATATTTATTATTATTATATAGAATTAAGCATTCTTAACAAAGTTTGATATTAATTTAATTCAAGTAAACAAGTTATTATCTTTAATTAGAACTAAGTTATTGATAAATATATTAAAATATTTCAATAGCAGAAACTTTTATAAAACTCTTATAAATAATTTTATAGATAAAGAATATTTGCTTTTTATTAGATCAAATCTTCTAAAATATTATAGGATTTAGTTATAATAGTAAGTATAGATAAAGTAATTTTACTTTTCTTTTTGCAAATAATTTTCTTGTTGAGTTCTTCTTCAAGTATTTTAAATAATTTAGCATTATTCATATTTTAATCAAGAATAATTTCAGAGATATCTTCTTGTTTTTCTTCTTTATTATTATTTAATTTCTCATTTTCTTCAATAATTTTTTTTGTGATTGATTTACAGATCTGATTTCATAAGATATAGCTCTTAAATTTTGAGTCTTTCTATTAGTAACCAAATATTTATATATACTAAGTAGTAAATTTATATTATTTAATTTGGCAGTTAATATTTGAATACTATTAATAAGAGTTTGTATTTGAGTTAATAATATGTTTTGATTATTATTAAAATTTTGATTTATTACTAGTATTTATCTAATTTGATAGTAAAAAATAATTAGAATAGATATGATCTGGCTTATCATAATTATAATAGATAAAAACTAATTTAGAATTTTGATTATTAGATCTATAATCAAAATTATTTTTACTATAGTTTGATCTTTTACTAGTTTCAATATTTTTTATTTGCTAATTGAGAACTTGAAGTACTATTAAAATAGTATTAAATATTAAATTATCTTGAATTTAAGATTAATAATATCTATGAGTTAGAATATCTGTATCAGCTTTTTCTATATTTTTTACTACTTGAATCATATTTAGAAATATTTTATCAATAAAAATCTGTATCCATTTTTTAATTTCTAATTTGAGTTCTTTTCTATAAGTTTAGATCTTATATTCTTTTAGATATTTATTATTAGAATCTACTTTACAAAGTAGATTAATAAATTTATTAGTATATTTATTCACAGTATAAGTCTATTACAAGATTTTAAATTCATCTTATTATTGATAAATTCTTTTTCTAATTCAGAAGTGAGTAGCAAATTAATAACTGAAGCTATATGACTAGTCATTATTATCATTTTAGATAATATTATTTCTATTTCTTTCATTATATTACAAGATAATAGCCTCTTTTAGATATTTTTTAACTAGTTATATCTTTCTTATAGCTATAATTCTATTAGCTTATATAATTATATTGAAGTTTTTTAGCTATTTGATTAGATTTTGATTATTTTTTCTATATTTTTTAATAGAAATGATAATTTTTTCTATAGATTAGGTATTTTGATTAGCTATCTAATTAATAAGAGTTCTAATAGTTATAATTAAGTTATCCAAATTATTATTATTATTTTGAATTATTTAATTATATTTTTCTTTTTCAGTTTCTGAATTATTTTCTTTTCAGTTAATATGGATATTATTTTCTTTTTCTGAATAAATATTATTTTCTTTTAATTTTGAATTTATTATAGTTTATTAAATGAAGTTAATAATTTTTCTGAGTTCTTGATTTCAGAATAATATCTATTAATATTACTATTACTAAAAGATATTCTTATTTATATTTATAAAGTAAAGTTTTGATAGATAAATCATTGATAAAATTATTTAATTAAGTCTTATTATTCTTTTTGAATATTTATATAATTAAATATAAAAGTATTTACTAATTATACTATTTTTTGTCTAAGATAAATGATATATA